GTAAGTGGGTCTTCAAGGTGAAGCGCGGTGATGCGGAGAAGCCGGACAGGTACAAGGCACGGCTTGTTGCAAGAGGATTTTCCCAAAAGCCGGGCTTCGACTACACCGAAACTTATTCCCCGGTAGCGAAGCTGGACACCCTGCGAGCGGTGTTGGCTTTGGCCAACGAGGAGCGGATGTACGTTCACCAGATGGACGTCAAGACCGCGTTCTTGAACGGTGAATTAGCTGAGGAGCTTTACATGACCCAGCCGGAAGGGTTCCAGCAGGGGAATGGATTGGTATGTCGGCTGAATCGTTCGATTTACGGCTTGAAGCAGGCGTCGCGAGCGTGGAACGACAGGCTCGATAGTTTCATCTGTAAGCTGGGGTTCGTTCGCAGTTCCAATGATCTGTGCCTTTATACGCGCGGAGCTGGAAAGGAGAAGATGATTTTGGTCGTTTATGTCGACGACATTTTGTTGGCTAGCTCCTCCCTGAAGATGCTGGAAGTCGTGAAACGGAAGTTGGCTCAAGAGTTCGAGATGACCGACGATGGCGAAGCTAAGCAGTTCCTCGGTATGCGGATCGATCGTGACAGCGAGAAGAGGATCCTGAAGATCAGCCAGCGCGATTACTTTGACGGACTACTGAGACGCTTCGGAATGGCGGAGTGCAACCCCGTTTCGACACCGATGGAGAATCGGTTGAAGTTGGAGAAAGGTGACGAGAAGTTGAGAACGTCAAAGCCGTACCGTGAGCTTGTTGGATGTTTAACTTATGCGTCGCTGACAACGAGGCCGGATCTTTCGGCTGCCGTTAATTTCTACAGCCAGTTCCAATCGTGCCCGAATGAACAGCATTGGACCCACCTGAAACGGATTCTCAGGTACATCAAAGGAACGTTGGACGTCGGTTTGGTGTATGAGGCCAAGGAGAATGAGCCGTTGCTGCAGGTGTTTTGCGATGCGGATTGGGCAAACGATCCAGCAGATCGTCGATCGGTGAGTGGCTGCGTATTGAAGTTATTTGGATGCACCATTTCCTGGTTGACGAGGAAGCAGCAGACTGTAGCGCTATCGTCGACGGAGGCAGAGCTTGCGGCACTTTGCACGGCTACGTGCAATACGTTGTGGATGATACGTGTGCTGGAAGATCTGGGGAAGCCGTTGGATGGTCCAGTACCGATGTACGAGGACAATCAGTCTACGATTCGGATTGCCGAAGATTCCAAGGAGTGCAAGAGGATGAAGCATGTGGATACAAAGTTTCATTTCCTGCGGGACCTGGTACAACAGAGGAAGATAGAGATCAGGTATGTGCGTTCAGCTGAGCAACAGGCGGACATCTTGACTAAGGGACTTCCGGTAGCTGGTTTCAAGGCACTCCGCTCCAAACTTGGATTGGAGGCATGCTGTGGTTGAGCAGGGGTGTTAAGATGGCAACCACTGCACTTGGTGTGCCCCTACTTCTTTCTCTACGCCTATGCGTTTAATAACCTTGTTTGACGTTTCACTGTTTATCTTTTATTATAACCAAAACCCAAGTTGAGTTAATACACGTTTTTTGTTTCTTTTGCCTAAATCTGAAAACCGCGTTTTGTGTTTTTGTTGTCTTGCCCATCCGAAAATCTCTTCACAGCGTTCACGATTCAGTTTATCTGTCATAATTTTACAACATTAAAATGTAATAATATAGTGTCCGATGTACTTTGAAATATTTTAAACCGGTTTGTTATATGAAATGCATTTAAAAAAACGAATTTTCACTCCGGTAAATAAACATTGTTTAGTAGGTACGTGAAATTTGGTTGTGCATGTTTGGAACCTAATTTTGAATGGGATAGGAACTGAATTTTGAAATATAAAAATTGAATTCAATATCCTTATTGAATGTCCCCTAATTTCAATACTTTGAATTTAATGTTTGTTTATTTTAGAATAAAATGGACGAATCAATAATTTTGTAATTATGAATTAAAATATTAAGCACAAAACGATCTCGTTGTCCTACATCGATAGTGCGGTTGTGCTTGGGACACAACCCGTAATTGTTTTTCTGACATGGAGTGGGAGTTGTTCCGCCGACGACTCGACGAGACAGCTCATCGAAACTGCATTCAAATTCAAATCCCTGTTCAACAATTTCCCGGGATGATGAAGTTTTTCAAACTTTCCTGGTGTTCTCTTTTTTTTTTATTAATTACTTTATTTGTACAGGCTCAATCGAATAAACTTTACAGAGCCGAGTTATCATTTTTGTTATACATTATTGATTTCTTATATTTAAAGTTAAAGGAGCTGGACCGGATACTCGCGGTTGTCTCGAGGTTAGTGGAGATTTACAATTTATTTTGGATGGGAAAAGGGAGAGGGACGTTTGAAATGTGGTTTACGATACAAATATTTAATTAATCCTAAAACATGAACTAATTTCTATTCATCTTGAAAACAAACATAAAAAAAACCCACACGTACAAAATACAAACTAAACACAAGGTTAATCAAACTTACAATCTAAGGTTAATATTCTTAAAGTAAACATATATGAGTTTCATAAACTCCAGATCGCGTCTAGCCAAAATATCCCGAACTGGAACATTAGGTTGTCTACCTCGAGCCCGAAGGGAATCGTACAGTTCAGATCTGACTCCGCGATGCTCAGCACAAGACCAAATAATGTGATCTGCGTCCTGGTAACCTTGTCCACATTCACAGAGATTGCTGTCCTTCAGCCCAACACGGAACAAGTGAGCGTTTAACGAATAGTGATTGGACATGAGGCGAGACATCATACGAATGAAGTCTCGACCCACATCCAACCCCTTGAACCAAGAACTCTTCGACACCTTAGGGATGATCGAATATAGCCATCGTCCCAAACTCCCTTCACTCCACTTATTCTGCCAGCTGACGAGTGACTGTTGACGATAAATGAAGAAAAATTCATCGTAGGCGATAATGGTGTTCTCTGACTGCCTTGAAATTCGCAGAACGTTACTGAATTTAGCAATTTTTTCCTGAAATTCGCAGATATTTGCTAACGTCACAACTTTCCACAATTTACCCAACAGGGTCATGAAAGTCGACAGAAATTTGACTTGGGTCCAGGTCAAGACGAAAACAAGCAGGGAAATCTTTCGCGATAGCCCTAAGCACACCTGGTGGTAGTGCCCCAGGATACATGAGCGAGTGAGTGGACAACACACGAGAGTCAATAAGAATACAATTCGAGATAATTAAGTGGATAAGTGTGAATGGATTATATTATTCGAGCAGTTCACAATGATGTTTCCTGCCACTTGAACTTTACCGCGGAGCAATTTTATCAGATTTTATTGCCTCTAAGAAAATAGTCTCCACACTGCTCGGCGATATAATTCTAGATAGAGCTGGAATTAGGGCGTAACAGCTTTTGTAAACAATGACTTCTATCGACGATTTCTAGAAACTCAAGGCATGCCCACTAGACTGATGCAAAATTTTCGCTCCACAGTGTTCAAACGGTTTCAAATCGGGTCGTGATTAGTCTCCGAAAGTTTAAACTCTTTTGATAAGAAACTGACTTGGCACAAACCATTTGAAGTTTATATGGAAATTACTATGAGAAAACAAAACTTTTTGTTCATTGTCTTCTAGCCTTTTTACATATTGTACTGTTAACAAATTCTATTGCTATTCTTATGGGAATTTTTATCAACTATAACTTTGCAGAAAATCGTTTTTCAGCCAAACGTCAAATTAAATAGTTATAAATTGTTTAAGAGATTGATAATCTTACGGCACGATTAAGCAACTGTATTGTGGGCAACACTGTATTCTGCAGTGTGACATTGTAGCCATGTTTTTTGTCCTTTATTCTAAGCGCCAGAAACAGCAATGTTGCCTGCTGAACAGTTGATTGAGCATAATCATAAGACATCAGTGACTTGAATCATTAATAATTTGTGTTCCTTACATTTGATCGAAAAGTGGTCTTGAACAAAGTTGTAGCTGAGAAAACTTTCAACAAGCTCAGCTATCATTTTCTAAAGTAGAGTGAACTGGTGAATTTTGATTTTGATATGAACCGAAATTATGGTTTCTCCATAGTAATTCCCATATAAACTTCAAATTTTGGGAGGCTAATCAGGGCCCAATTTGGAACCGTTTGAGCACTGTGGAGCGGAAATTTCAAATTTTGCATCAGTCTAATGCCCACGCAAACCAACATAACCGTTCGGTAGGGGAAGTCTTCATCTACCCGATAGTGTTGTTGAGTTGCGTTGGCAAGCCTTAACTTTCTATAAATCATTGTTTACAAAAGCTGTTACGCCCTAATTCCAGCTCTATCTAGAATTAATTAGAAATGCTATTTCCGGACTGATTTGAGATTTTGGCGTAACTTTTTTTTACTAAACAATGACTTCAATTACTGATTTCTCGCGAATAAAAGCTGAATCTCGCAAACTAACAACACAATCAGGCAGGGGAGTGATTCCTCTAACAGTAAGCATAGTTTGTTTGCGAAATCGAGCATTTATTCGCGAGAAATTGGTGATTGAAGTCATCGTTTACAAAAACAGTTACGCTCAAATCAGTTTGTTTTTGTACACACACTTAGATTATTTTACCGAAATCTGTGAAATTTTACCGAAATATCAACAGCAGAACATTCGGTAAACTGTTCGGTGATTTAACACAGATTTCCTGTAATGTTTCACACATATTCGGAGAAAAATTACAGGAAATCTGTTAAAAATCACCGAACTGTTTACCGAAACTTCAGCTGTTGAGATTTCGGTAAAATAATCTTAATGTGCACATTTGTATGATTTTAGAAACTGGTCGCAAACTAGGATTTCTTAACAAATTTTGAATTCAAAGAAACACGAATACAAACCACTCACCGTAATCGAGTCGCCGTCCATATTTTTTCCTGTATTTTTTATGGCAAATAATCACTCGAAAATATGCGTATATTTATTCCAACACAATTTTTTTTAAAGACAAAACTTATCTGTCACTATCACCCACAGCCCACTAGGATTCCTTCGTCTTTCTCGGGCGTGAATTCAGCTGTAGGATGAAACACAACACCATGCGATCGCCAATCTTCCCCGAAGATCGCACCTCCCAGTAGGTACTCCCGGACCCCGGCAGAAATCGTGCCACATCGTCCTCTACCAGCTGATCCTTCAGTATGTAGCTTCCCTTTTTGAACGGACACTGTGGCTTCGGGACCATTTTGTCAAAATATCTCGTGTACATAGCATCCGATGCAGCCAACAAAGTGCACACATCCGTATTGGCAATGTTGTTCAAAAATGGACGACAGTTTGCCGCTGCGCTGAAATCGTCGCACCTTTTCACCGTCGCCGAGCCGGTCCATCCGTTCGGGAAATCCTCCTTGAAGATGACCTCCCCGTTGACGACGTAGTTGGTTGCATTGTATTGCGAAACTTTAAAGTCCGTAAAATAGATGGGCAGGTTCTTGTGGCCGGGACACTGTCCGATCCGGTTGACGACCAAGCGCTTTTTTGCGCCACCGAAGCCATCACCTTTTAAAACATCCAAAAAGTCGGCTGCCAACGTTAGATGCAGGAGTAGCCATAGCCACAGGAAGGTTAGTTGAAGCTCCATCACACTGAACTGAATACTGAATGATGGGGTTCGGCGGTATTTAAAAGGCTTGGTATTGCGTTGCGTGTGCGAAAGTGCTCTGCGGGGCTACCGCGAATAATTTGTCACAATTAGAATAGAGATACAGACTTTTTGATGCAATCGCTTCAGCTTATGTGCTACTATTAACTCCCAAAAATTAAGCAAGATACAGTAAATGGATGTGCGTATTAGTGGTATTTGGTCTTCACAAGCATTTCTTCCCAATCGTAAACGCTCAACTCCATGCTCAAGCAGTATATCATGTGACCTTGATGTACCGCAGTGATCACTACTCGCCAATCGTTTGAAACGTGAGGTGCCAAATACCTGCGGAACAATTCAGAATTGATCATGCTTCACCATCATGGCGGCACAGATTTTCACTTACCTAAACACCATGTTGTCCATTATGATATCTTCGAACCGATAAACCCCCACCCGGAAAGGGCATTCAAACACTGGAGTAATTCGTTGTTTGATGAAAATCAAAGCTGGATCTATGGCTTTCAAGAACCCACAAACATCATCGAAGGGAATGGATCTGGTGAACGGTTGACAGTGCCCCGTGGCATTGCATTGATCAACCCTAACTGCGCCACTAATGTTGCCTTCATAAGGTTTGCGAAATATGAGATTCCCACTGAGCACATAGTGAGTGGTGTTCACTTGAGCGATTCTGCAATCATGTAAGAAAATTGGAACCTGTTCGAATCCTTTACACTGGCCGAGACGATTCATAAAGAGCGTATTGCGCCGGTCGTCTCCAATTCCGGATTGGATTCCGTACAGCCGCGCGGCAGTGGTGGAACGAGCTTGCAGAGAGATCACCACTGTAAAGATAATCAGTTCCGGCTTCATGGCTGGTTGAGGATCGACTGATTGTGGTTCGGTGTTGCTGACTGAGTAATTTTTTTTGTCAGAATAGTGCACTGCCGTTCTACGCATATCTGTCCCATGTTGCTCATAAAACAGAACTTTTTTTAGTTGAATTTTCAAATGAAAACAGAAAACATGTTATTTGTTCTGGGCTAATCGTCCCATGTTGACTGTTCCACAAAGTTTTTCTTTACTGCATCTATCATTAACGAATCGATAAGAGTGCACGAAAGATTGAAACAGGATTTAGATGAACCAAAGAGCCGGTATGTGCCATTTCGGGAAATATAAGTTATATTTTATGTTTAAAAATATTAAGAGATATGGAAATTCGTATTAAAACATCAGGTCAGAGTTCTAATTTCAAACAATAATGCATTATTAGACGCTTCCACTCGCCACCATAACACTCCCCCAATAGTGTCTACGTGTTTTATGAAAGCCCCTAATTTAATCTAATAATACCTAGTATAAAGGTCAACGCCGTACGGAAGATATCCTTACTTACTGTACATGGTAACTTTTCCAAAGTATTTCTTGAAATCATCGAAGTCCTCGAGTCGCCATAAATCTATGGTCGCACTCAAAATGATTAAGTACAATCTCTTTTAGACCCTACGTTCGTATCCCAACATTATTGTCTGTATAAGCTTATCTTCAGCTAAAATTGTTAGTTGGGATGCTCATATTGTTCTACACAGAGCAATCATCATTAGTTTCTCGAGATGCTCATACTTTAAATGGCTTTATAGAAGTAGCAAACGACGATTGCATCAATGTCAACACACTTATTATTGGTATCAATTATTCAAGATGCAAACTATCCAGGAGCTTCCAAAACTTCGCGGAGGACGCAAGCACAGACGGTAAAAAAACATCATGTTCATGTAAAGTGATTTACTGTTGAATTTGCACTACTAGCCGAACATTGCAATTCGATGTGCAAATCCTTTGGAAGACATCATATCGAAGCACGATGAAATCAACAGCAAATCACTTTATTTTAGATTGTATTGCACATCGTTGTTGATGTGCTGTGCTTTGAACTCGAAATGTCAAGCATACTGTTATAAGAAACATGAAGAACAAACTCCAATTTTGTATCAGTGTATCTTTGAACCACTTTGAATTGAACGTTTTTTTTTTTGACTCTACTGTAATGACAAGTCCATAAGAGAATCAATTCAAGGAAGTAAGGTTAGCCAACAACACAAAACAAATTTTCAGAATTAATTACGCATTCGTGCGGATAACACGCGTTTCGTTAAAACGGCAAATAAAAATCAAATTACAGTCCATTGTTCTTTTCTCCGCTAACTATCTGAGGACATGTTTGGTCCATCAAGCCGGATAAAGTAGCGTGAAAAGTAGTACCGATTCTTCTTTTCGTGCGCGGATCGAAGAAAGTTGACGCGTTTCGGTCGTTCGATGTGGTTCGGGACGCTAGTAAAAAGTGATCTGGTCTGAAAAGTCAGCCAGAAAGTGATTGACCACGGTCAAATATAGAGTGAATTCGTTGGCTTTTTTGGCAATAGATATTGATTCCGGAAAGCTTTGTCTTTGGAACTGCAAAAGAAATTGCGGAAGGAATAGCAAGTGTTTGTTATGTATTTGCGCTCTGGAAAGGTAAAAAAAGTGCTTTTTTCTCCGTTCGGATCGCCGCCATATTTAACGCCTCGTGGCAAAACGCCGATTCCAAGCGTTCGTGAACAAAAAGAAGATCAAGGAAATCGGCAGATAAAAATCAAGATGGCCGAATCAGTGGAAGCACTTAGCTTGTGTTGTGAGACCACCAGAGCAAAAGTGGAAAGAATTAAAAAGGCGATCGATGTCTCTAATATGGATCATCAAAAATTCAGTGTACATGCACTAAGGTTGTATTTGAAGAATGTGGATGCAGCATATGACGAATACAATAGTTTTCAAAACCGTATCTATCTAATGGATCCGTCAAAAAAGAATGAATACGAACCGCGGTTCATTGATTTCGAAGAACTGTACGAGTTCGTACGAATCGCGTTGTGTCAATTGCTGCAGATGTACGATGATGATCAGAAAGCAGCTGATGCTGTACGTGAACAAGAAGAGAGAGAAAAGCAACTTCTCGCAATCAAAGGGCAACCGGGTGTAAGTGGTGTTCCCACAGGTGCTAGGGCCTCTCCGTCGCTCGTGTTGCAGCAGACGCCCCTTCCGACGTTCGATGGGCACTTTGAACATTGGTTCAAGTTTAGGGCCAGATTTCGTGATATCGTCGACAAGTGTGTTCACGACTCCCCAGCCACGAAGCTCCATTTTTTGGATAAAGCCTTAGTCGGTGATGCGAAGGGTGTGATAGACGAGCAGACTCTCAACGACAATAATTATGAAGGCGCATGGAAGATTTTAACCGATCATTTCGAAAATCTTCCGATTGTGATCCACGGACACGCTATGAAGTTGCTGAACTTGAAGCCGATGGTGAAAGAATCATCTCAGGAGTTGAAGATGTTGATCGACGATTGCACGAAAAGAGTTGAGTCGCTCGAATTTCACGACCTGAAAATGGATAAGATGGCGGAAGCAATAATCATCCCATTGTTGACGTCAAAGTTAGACCCGGCTACAAGAAAAGTTTGGGAGCTGTCAATTGAACATGGTAAACTTCCGGTGTATAAGGACACAATGGCCTTTCTACGGAACCATTGCCGTGCCTTGGAACGTTTGGAGCAAAAGACAAATCCATGCAAGACAAAACCGATATATTCCACTCAGAAGAGTCCATCGTCTACTACGATGAACAAGACACACACTGTAACAGTACAGAAAGCAGATGACAGCTGTCCGGTGTGTGAAGCCAAACATCAAGTTGCTGAATGTGAGGTGTTCAAGAAGCTAACTATAGATGCACGCTACAGAAAGGTGAAGCAACTAGGATTGTGCTACGGCTGTCTAAAAAGGGGTCATCGTACAGGTACGTGCAAACGCAACCAGTTCTGTTCAGTATGTTCGAGAAGGCATTACGATTTGCTTCATCAGGAGGAGAGGAAGTTTGTTGAAACTGCTACGTCAAATGCAGCTGCTGATGCTAAAGAAGGCGACCGCAATGCACCACTAACTGCAGCTGAGTGTTCCGTACAGTTCCATCAAGAATTGAAGCAAATTTTGTTGGCAACTGCCGTTGTGAAGGTGTTCGACCAAGCCGGTGAAGCACACCACTGTCGCGTTCTGCTAGACTCCGGGGCTATGGCCGATTTTATGTCCGAGAGTACGGCGGATCTCCTGGGTCTTTGCAGACGACAAGCTGACGTACCTGTTGCTGGTGTGAATGGAATGCAAACTACAGTTAAGTTTAAAGTGAATGCGAGAGCGGCATCTAGATCAACGGGATACGAGTTCACGTTGGATTATCTCGTCGTTCCGAAGGTCACCGGTGCACTACCGGCGATGAAGATTTATTCAAAGGACTGGCCAATACCGGATTCGGTAGTGTTGGCTGATCCGAGATTCCATGACCCTGGACGCATCGACATGCTTGTTGGTGCTGAAGTGTTTTTCGGACTGCTGCTATCAGGTAAGATTCTTATGTCCTCAAACTTACCTGTGTTGCAAGGAGACGCACAAGATATCAAGTGATGCTGCCATTCAGGAAGAATGTGGGAGAACTTGGTGAATCACTAAATCAAGCAATAAAGTGATTCGAATCTCTGGAACGAAGACTTGACAGATGTCCAGATCTAAAGGAGATGTATGCAAATTTCATCAATGAGTATATATCACTAGGACACGCTCGAATTCTGAGTGATGCAGAAGTTGAAAAGATGGATAAGTTATACTTTCTTCCCCACCATTGTGTATTGAAACCTGACAGCTCGACCACCAAGTTAAGAGTGGTTTTTGATCAAGGGGGGGAGGTGGCTGTCAAATACGAACAATCGTCGCCTACCTCGCATAACTGGTTCCAAACGTAAACAAGCCATAAGAGACCTACAGCGTTTGTTTACGTTTGGAACCAGTTTCATACAAGATGATCAGTAGGCTGATTTGACAGCACGTCCCTCCCCAGTTTTTGATGCTTCAGCGAAGAGTAGCACAGACCTGTCATTGAATGATGTGTTGATGATAGGACCGACAGTGCAAGACCCGATCTTTGATATTTTGCTGAGATTTCGCTTGTTCAAATACGCGTTTTCTGCAGA